TTCTGTCATTTCCTACCTGAATCTGATTTCCTCTGATCGTTTAATCTTTTCAACAATGAAGGGGACGACAACATAAGAACACAAGCTCATAAGCACCAAATCTCACCATTTTCATAACCATACAGACGGACGCACTTCACTTGTATTTGAATGTTTAAAATAAAATGTAACAAATTCCTAGAAACCATGAAACCAAAAATAATAAGAGAACAAAGGTGTGTGTTGGTCGGTGGTTGGATATAAATTAGTTGATGGTGTTGCCAACTGGACAAGGGCTATCCGTGATTTGTCATTGGATCAGACCCATGACTCTGAGGCGTTACAGTAAATTCAACTTGTTTCACTCCTGCCTCTCAACACTGCAGAGGCCTTTTTTGTGATTTACATTGGAAACATTATGTTCAGAAACAGTTACTGGACGTGTGTTCTTCAGCCACTTCAGCTGAACGAATGCACATGCAAGGTATTTGCTCTTTTATGATATATATCATCCAGCGCGGAGAGTCCAGCTCCTCTGAGCCCTATAATGAGACTGTTGACGTTACCCTGGAAAATGACCGCCTGGAGATAACAATAGAGCTAAGCACGGTAACTATGGAAAGTGAAAGGACACGGTGCACGTGTCAAACAGCCGTGGTGAATGCATAGGGAACCAGGAACCGGTGCGGAGAGCACCGTCATTGTTTCCACCAAATCCAGGTTCTCACACTTTTACTGGTCCATGTGTCTGGGTGTGGTGCCATCCAGCTGCTGGAGCGCTCTTTGTGACCAAGTGTGCAACGACCGTGCAGTTAGTTGCCCCGGTGACAGTTCATATGGGACAGCGAGGGAGGTGGGTCCAATAAACACATCCAAGTAACGTATGAACGAAATTCTCGGCATTGCTTCAAAACCTTCTTTTTTTTTCTTACGCTTTCGTCAGTCTTTTTCATGTTCAGTGTTAAAATATCTCACATCTGTCCCATTTCTCTTGCAAAAGTAAGCGGTTCACCGTGGAGTAAAAGTGGTCGACCAAAGAAATGTTAATTGTTGTATGGCGATTCGGTATAAATAGGCACTGAAACGCTGTCCGGTCTAATTTACAAAGAGAAGAAGTCTGCATGTGTCTGAAAGGAAGTCTCAGACAATGTAATTTTCCTCCGAGCTTTAAGGGAAAAACCTCAATTTGTATTTCATGATTGGGGCATTGCAGCAGTCTATTCTGAACCTGCTTTACGCAGCTCTGTTGGCATCTTGAAAACAAATGCCAGACCTCTTGTCCGATCATACCTTATAATTTTATGCATCAGTGTATTTCCCCACACAGTTTGGAATGTTCAGGGGCTCCAGTGTTCCAGTGCTTTACTGGAGGGGCAGATAACTTCCAAAGCTGGCAGGAGATGGTTGACGTCTGAGACATCAGATGGTATCGGGTGTCTCGTTTGAGTCTACTAGAAGTGAACAACATTGATAAGATCTACTAACACAGTCAATGTTTGTCTCTACCACACTGTCGTTAGATATTGTGATGTCAGCCAAGTTCAAGTCATTTGAGCCAAGTCCAAATCAAGTCTCAAGTCCAAGAGAAGTCAAAGTCGATCAAGACAATTCTGAGTCAAGTCTCAAGTCGAGTCAATTGAGCCAAGTCCTACGTTAAAGTCCATCAAGACAAGTATCCAAGTGAAGTCTTGAGTCATTTGAAACATTTCTAAGTCGAGTCCTACGTTAAAGTCCATCAAGACCAAACCAAGTCTTAAGTCACGCCGGTCGACACAAGTTCAAGTCAAGTCTCAAGTCATTTGAGACAATTCCTAATTTAGTGTCACGTTAAAGTCAATTCTCAAGTGTTTCGGAGAAGGTGTCAAGTATTTCAAGGCTGACTCGAGCCTTAAAGCTGGAGTGCGTAACTTTTGCATATAAATGAACGTGTGTTACATTTTAAGCTCTTTCCAAACAAGCTCACACAATGCTGATTGAGCTTATCGACGCCAGGGAAAACCCTCTGTATTTTGCAGTATACCAGAGTGACCGGTGACTCTCCCGCACTGGCAGTGTGGCAGGTGATGTGCTTTATGTCAACCAGCTGGAGCTAAAAGTGGCAAGAAGGGGGGGGGGGGGCAAGACCTTAGTGGCCAATGGCGATGGTGAGGACAAACCTGCCTTGGGCAGGGGGCGATGTGGATAACATAACTGTCTTAGGGAGTATGAAATATTCATAGCTATTCAAAAAAGCTGAAATATATGTATTTACATTTCCCAAAATTGCATCGGGGGTTTGTGGGTTTTGGGAAGGCCACATGGGTAAGGTTTTATATTGCTCGTACTATATGTTTGCTCATAATTTGTAGCGAGCATGCTTAATATGTTGCAGTCCGAACATTTTTATGGCTCAAATGCAAATGGCTGTTTGCAAACCTGGATTTTATGTGCCACCAGAGATCACCTCTGAAACAGATCCTGCAGAAAACATCTCGACACCGGCCAAACAACCAAAATATTTCAAAGATCGCACAGGTCCCTCGTTGTAAATGAAAAGATTTTGAGTTGTATTTTACATCGAGTGGGTCATTAATACTTTATACCTGCTGTTCATCATGTATTGGCTCCAGTAAAGCATCACAGCAAGGGAAATATAACCTGCAGCATGCTGGCACCTCTCCATTATGTTATGGTCCCATATTTACAACTTGCTGTTGCAGCTTTGGCCCTCTCAGCTCCCCAACATAGCGTTCCTCTTCCCAGATTTACACTGAGCTTCCTCCCTGAGGTCCAACTTTGTTCTTGGACCACAAACTGCTACTGGGGAACAGCCGAGGCCCGCTTGAGCAACCTTCAGCACCTCAGAGTGTGACATGTGGAGTTGTGTTACTACTATCATAGTGCTTCACCAAAAAAAAAAAACATTCCAGAACAATAGCAGAACAATAACAATTTGGACAATACAAAGAAAAAGTGGTTTGACACATGCAGAATGAATCTGATGAATTAAAAACAGATGGGGCACTAAAGCTCAATCTGGCCCATTGCTGTCTTATTGTTTTCACCTTGTGAGTCTTGGTGTGTGTCATCATAGCAAAATGTGGTCCTGCAGACACTTACTGTAGCAGGAACTACCACAGAGGCGGTTTTGAGTACTTAGCCAGATGGTTATAATTATATTTCTCTCCGTTTGTCTGGGGACAGATTTTGTCGCCGCGACAGTGTCACAAAATGCAGTCACGAGACTTTACAGGTGTGTTGTTGAGATCAAAATGCAGGCCCAGTTCCAATATGCTTGTGGTCTGAACAAGGGCGTAAGAAGACAATAAGAACCCATTGACCACCCTACTTTACGTCTATAGCCTGATTTGGTGGTGCGGCTGATTTGACCCCATCGCAAGATGGTCTCTAGTTTAAAATAGATTTTGCATTTTTCAACAAAGTTTAACCAAAGACTTGTGTCCTTGGTTTCCATGCCTGGTTCCTCCCAGATGAAAGGTTGTGCTGAATCCAAACTTACCATGGGAGCAATATAGTATTCAACACTACCTCATAGTTCACATCAACAATGAGAGAAGATCCGCCAATTTAGTGGCTAGAAACAAATCAAGCTGCTATGGATGTTTTTCTTTTCTTCAACAAACACCAAACTGCTGAAGAAGCTTTACTTGATCAATGCCGTGACAGGGATAAGTGCTCCCTAATTGAGTAATATAGCACATGTTAATAAATCACATCCTCAAATTGATGCACATGCTAACTGTATTAATGTAACCTGAAGGTCCAATAGTTTTGCTCTGTCACACTATTGCTCTGCTGTATCAAAAATAACAGAAACTCTGAAAGCAGAGCGTGCTCCAATCGGATGCTGTAAATTAATCGGTCATTTATTTTGGAATTCAACCCTTTCTTTGGTTTCAATTGCTTATTAGCCACAGCTTTGCTCTAATGCTCGGCCTTTTCCAACACAGCGCTCTCACAATCAAATTGGAAACAGACTTCTACCTTCGGCCTCTCTCACAAAAGATACTTGACTCGGCCGGTTGCTTTTCCTTTCTTTTCCGCGAAGCAAAGATCTTTCATGACCTGCTGTTGAATATTGATATGATAACAATGGCTGTGTAATGCTCTGTAATCCGTGAAGTTTTCTTTCTTCCGTGAAACATGCAAAGTCGTGACCTCAGTATGGTGCTTGTGTGTTGTTTTAAAGCCTCCTGCTCTCTGAGCCTATAAAAGGAAAATGTTTCGGAAAAGCAGAATGCCAAATGTTCAGGTAGCATGCACCACTACCACTGAGCATCTGTCTTTTCTTCTTCATGCAAAACAGATGTATTATTACCAAGTTTTCTTTTAACTTGAGAAGAGAGATCACATTCAAAACATCTTGATCTGAAACCTTGCAGACCGAGCGTCAACCGTCGACACACTGGGATCGTTCCACTCTGTCTTATGTTGCAGCGATGGGACAGGCCGATCACAGACCAACCTAAAAGAAAGCTCTTGATGCTTCTGTCAATTTTTCTGTCAATTTCTCTAAATTATTGCCAATGACAACCTGACAGCTGTTACTGGGGATAAACAGAGTGCAAAGTAAGCGGTAATACAGATTTGTGTTCCTGGTTCACAGTTGTCTCATTCAAAGTTGACCTGTTTTAAACTTTTCAACAAAAAGTATAAGCATGTCACCACCCTGCCTGAATGCTGTTGGTGGCAGGCATCCTTTCATTGAAATACATGGGTTTTTAAAATGTGTTTCTGTGAAGCAACGTGCCTGTGTGGGCCCACAAAAGCAAAAACAAACCACAAAACTGCTGTGTGTCATGTAGTTACCTTTCTATACTTGCAGCAGTTTTAAAAACGGCTAAATGTAATCTTTCTAAATAACTCTTCCCAAACAACTTTGCTCCTAAAAGTGAGAGAGAGGGATGGCTTCCACTGTCCCACTGCATTGAGTAACCCCCTCACTGTTTGAAACCACATTTATGCATCAGAAATGTCTTCAACTCAGTCATCTAACATTTACTGTTACCTTCTCTACACAGCTACTACAACTGGAGGACACAGGTGTCCGCGTCCAACTCGAGCCCAAACTTTGAGGTGATTTACGATGACCCTAACGGCCTTCTCTTCAAGAACAAGAGGGACAAAAAGATCCTGAATGTGGACCCGTTGGTAGGTTGTTGTTGTCCTGCTTTGTTTCTGAGCCCCAGGGAGACAAATGGCGTTGTTAATTAGATCAGTTCACCTGTTCCACGGCTGTAAAAATGTCCCAGGACAGAAACAAGGCTATGGGGCTTAAAACTCTGTTCAAAGCCTTTTCTTTGGCACCAGGGACTTCTTTAAAAACTCATTTAGTTGTCTATGTGGTTCAGGTGACTTGCCAAGTACCCACAACATCCTGTTTTTCTTTTGTTGCATTCAGTGTCCATACTTTTTGTTACAATGTTTAATGTTTTAACTATCAAATGCAAAAATATTAAGTTATTTTTCACCTCCCTGACAACTTTACCAACTGCTTAGTTTTTAGCGAGTCTTAATTAACCTCAGACATCAGACAGAGGGAACCCAAACTCTGAGAAATAAAGGAGCTAACTAGAACCATAGAGGGTTTTTTGGCTTGTCGTCATAAGAGAACCCTTTTTGGTAACCTTTTGAAAAGTTTCCACCTGGAACCCTTTCAGGGGGTTCCACCTAAAACCCAACATTAATTCTACCTAGAACCATATTGGAAAGGTTCCACCCAGATCCCCCTAGGAGATTCTTCAGGGAACCCTTCTATGGTGGTTTTATCCAGGATCTTTACACCTTCTAAGAGTGCTAACAAGAACCCTTTTGTATTTTATATATTGAGTTCATTCATCTAGAACCCACTCAGGGCATTTCTACCGAGAACTCTTTTAAATTCCAAGAGTTTCATCCCGGACCCTACAGGGCCAGCCCACAACAATCCTGGTTCACAATCACAGTTGTGGGGTTTGTGTTGGCTGGATGGTGGGCATTCTCTTTTAAGACCCATGTTTACAACAATCCTTGGAGAACTGTATCTTCCAAAAAGAGTTATTTAGATAGAAATGGTTCTTAATTGAACTTTTAGTCAAACAAAGAGCCCTTTAAAAACACTTTCTTAAAAAAAAAAGTTCTGGCTAGGGCTTCAGCCCTTGAGGAAGAACCCGTTTGGAACCCTTATTTCTAATGGTGTATAAGAGAATCAGTCGGAGAAACTGAGATAAGGAAAGAAATCAGTGGGAGGGAAAGATATTTGCTTTCCACCTGCACAAAGAACAGAGGATCAAGGGGTCGAGACAGGTGCTTCCTCCACACTCAACAGTCTGACAGGAGCCCTGGAAGAATAACGACTGACAGACTGGTTTTTATTCCCCCCCCCCCCCCCTCTTTGCTGGGGGGTAGGGAAGTAGTTGGTGTGGGGCTGAACTATTTTGAAATTGCAGACAGAGCTGTGGGGACTGCGTTTTTGAGGCCAAGCGCCAAAATGGCAGCACAGTGTTCTAGCTGCGGTCGAGCACCGCCCCGACCAGGCTGTCTATTAAAAACACAAGAGAAGGCATAGGAAGCCAGACACAGCAAACCACCCGTGTGCCCAGAACCCTGCTCAGATCAGCCCAGATTGGGCTCGGCATGGAGCAGCACAGAACCATCCGGCTTTCAAACCCACCATGAGCTCACTAGCTGCTCATGTGACCACAGATCCGCAGCGGAACCTTCCAAAATCAAGGCTCGCATCAACTCATTTTGGGTGGTTTGTTTGTTTTTCTGCCATTGTCATACCATGACCGCTTCTTCTATCCCAGCCAGAGAGTGGGTTGGGGGTTGGAGGGGTTGTCATATTTCTGTTATGACCATGTCTTGATTCAATCTAGTTTTTAAGTCGCTTGGATGGCGAGTGTTAATTACACGTTTTAGTTTCTGTAAAAACAGTTTGCTTATCATTTAGTTTAACCAGCATTTCCCCTAATGTGTCTATGAAGTTGTTTTTTATTGGCCTATTTTTTAATTGATGCTCTTTTGAACTCGCGAAGGAAGACCGCCTCACTTATCAGGACACCCACAAGTGTGTTTGAGTTAAAAGTGTAAATTGAGTGTAATGGTTGTCTATGGATCCACTCCCACTAGAAGCTTTTGACACACTTAGCCTTGAATAAATGTTCCCAGCCGGTAGTGGCTTCACATCTTAGCGGTGGGGCTGTGTCACATTTGACATCCCGGGTAACACAAAACATCTTGGAAAATGAACAATTACAGTCACTGTCAAATAATGTTGCACTTGGCCTCCCCGTTTAATATATTTCTAAAGAGATGTGTTCTGGATATCTGAGGTTTTGTTTAATAACTAACGACTTTATCTATGGCAGCTTTCACATTTCAAACCGCCATTAAGAGATATTTTTTTATATTAAAATTGCAGCTTGTTCTCACTCTCAGGGCGCCAAACCAACACTTGGCAATGGTGCTTGGCGTCGTGATACCGACACACAAGGCACCCTTTATTCGTATGAGACACACCGATCTTTCAACTAACTCCAACGTAAACCCGCTGCGCCATTATTTAGACTGTCAAAGAAACTGACGTATAGTAATAAGAGCGAGAAAGTAGAAGAGACCATTGGTGGATCAGTCAAATAAATACAGGACGACATATGGCTATTTTCAGTAAACAAGCTCAGATTCAGACTACCTGCTCGGCACTAAATGGCACACAGAAAAAGTTAGCAACTAGCTTGTTTAGAGGTGGAATATCTAGCAACTAAAAGTGGAATAATGCATTTCTGAAGATTTGAAAACAATTGTAGAGAAGGGTGTTGTGGGTAACGGCAGGTTGCAGAGGAGTCGACGTGCACAACTCCCAAATCTCAACAATACATTGTGCGGACCTTTGCCTCAAGCGAGCTGATTGGAAATGTTAAATGTCTCTGGACCACCCTCGGTGACGTTCATCTCTGTGCGGCCCAGAGAAGCATGTTTCAGCTTTAAGTAGAGTATCTGCTAACATGTTGAAAAGCCAGCGGTATATTCGGGAGAGTCTCTGCCCCCAAGAAGTCCAAAATAGCTCAATGCTGGTTTAAAAACCTCACATGTCACTGTGTGTTTAGACTGACAGTGAAGCAAATTTTAGAAGAGGGTACAGATGTATATAAAGTCAATGGAAAGGCACAAGAGGTGCTGGGAATAGCTGCGTCCACAGCAAACGTGTTCCATTAAAGAAACGTAAGAGAAAGGACTTGACTTGTTGTTACATTTTGAGATCAGTCCAAGTCCAAACTGTCACATAAACACACATTCAGGCACACTAAACACAGACGGCTGCTATATGTGAATGAAACAAGGTGGAAATTCACTTTATAGACTGTAGATAACGCTGTCCAAACAAGCCCTCCTCTAACTGCTCTAACTCTCTGTGCTGGGTTCCAGTCTGGTCCGGGTGAGGACTCCAACAGGACCTTCCTACAGTCGGACCTCTACATCCATGCCGTCATCTACGACCACAACGTTAGGACTGTCTAAGCTTCAGAGGCCGTTGCCGACACATTCGTACATATGGCACATATTGGAGAGCTCTGGAACCCTCTAATTTGACTGAGCTGCTGTAGTTGCACCGTCATTTGCAATCTGTTGCCCTCATATCATGCAAGCCATCTGGGTGGAGGTGCTGCAGTGGATTTAAACTGAGAGTTCTCAAGGGAACAAGTGGATGGACTACTAGGACAACTTTGCAAATAACCTGAAATTTCATGCTAGTTTTTTTTTGGGCCTTAAATTCTTCTATGTTCCATATAGTGAAGACCCAGTTCGGCTCTGTTTCTTTGGCGCTCCCTGAAGGAATGGTAACCTGCTCGGGGTCGTCCCATCATTTGGCCTGGCTTGTTTCTGGCTGTTTGTCTAAACAAATTAAAGGCGAAAGAGCTTTGAAAGATGACGGGGGTTGCTTTTATGTCCTCCCCCAGGCTGCGGTAGCTCCAACTGGAAGAATGGGTAATGGGCTTAAAGCATTCCGCATGTTCCCAGATGTAAGACACACTTTACAGGACATCAAAGTGCTCTGTCATTTACATATTAGTCATTCACTATATGGCATTTTCTTTTGATGGAAGACAACTCTGCAAACAACCTGCTTTAGGAGTTATTTAGGAGGTGCAGAAGACTTCGAGTAACCTTTCTCCCTTTCCATTTCTGGATTCACATGTTTTTGTTATTGAAGCTCATGGTAAAAATCAGCCCCACCTCAAGTAATGTTATGTCCGTCTATGAGAAAACAAATACAGGGGCATCTGTGTACAGTTCTAACCAATGAGCACAGGGTCCATTTCTATACATACAGCAATGCACTTTCCCCATTCTTTTAATTGCTTCCCCAAAACAAAGTCCTGCACGGATGTACAGTTATATTACTTACCAAAATGGCATGAAGAACAACACAAACAATAGTCTTTTAAAGAATAGTTTGACATGTTCTTTCTGACAGTTGGGTGAGAAGAGACCTCTCTCACGTCTGTGTGGGAAATATGGAACTACAGCCAGAAGCTGGTTAGCTTAGCTTAGCATAAAGACTTGAAACAGGGGGGAATGCCCACCAGCACCTCTCCAGCTCAATAACTAGCATGTTATATCTCGTTTGTTTAATCCAAACTAAAGCCAGAGTTATGGTTCCACAAGGGGGAGGCGGGGGTCCCGTTCAGTCCATGAAAGTTGCTCAGTGGTGCATGAAGCAAAAAAAGCATTTCCTTTAACCCCGCCTCCTCAGCCCTCGTTCTCTGTCACATGAACGTAGGAAAGAAAATAACTCTGGATTCATCTATTGTGCATTTTAAAACTTTTCAGCACTTTATGATTTTAAATAAGGACTATTCATGTGTTCGACTGGGAAGACGATTTACCTCAAAAGAAATGATCCGATGATTTAAAAAGGTCTCTTTCCCAATGAGTCCAAGTCAATGGCATCATGTGACAGCCTCTT